CAGGGAGTGGACAGGAAAAGGTAGCTCTGTAAGCTTATATCTGAAACTACTAAGTCTGAAGCCTTGTTTTGCTTTGTTTTTGCATCTTTGTTTTTGCTTCAGTGTAGACTAGGAGGAAAGGGGACTCTTAGGAAAGGAGGGAGAGGGAATAAAGAAACAGACATAACTAATTAATACTTGGAGACATATGCCTACCTCAAATATAAAAAGGGTATTACAATATTAATAGAACTGAAGAAGTGACAGAATTTTATCAGAATTGGTTTGCTTTAGTTATGAGGGAATGTTATATACTGGTTAACTATATGAACTCTGGATCTGGGTTATCTGAATTTGAATCCTAGCTTTAACACATTTTAGTTGTGTGTCCTGGAATAAGTTACCGAACTTCTCTGTACTCAGTTTTTCTCATCAATAGTATGTACTTTATGGATTGTTATTAGGAATAAAGAAGTTAATACATATAAAGTGTTTTTAATACAACCTGGCAAATTGTAAATATGATGTAAGTGTTAGCAATACTTTTTGGTTAGTGTTTTGTTGCTTGTTACCTGCCACCTCAAATTTGGTTAACCAAGTAAGAAAAAGTAGATTTAAAAATTCAAGATGACATTATGCATACTAACCCCAAACTGGACACAATGCAAAGTCTATTCGTTGATGAACAGATAAGCAAAACATTGTGTATCTTTTAATGAAGCACTTCTCAGGAATAAAAAGAAGCAAGCAGCTGAATCGTGCAACAACATGAATAAATCTCAAAAACATCTTTCTAGGGGAATAAAGACCCAGACACAAAAGACTATGTATTATAGGATTCCACTTCTATGAAGTTTCTAGAAGAAGCTAAACTATAGGGACAGAAAGCAGGTGAGCAGTGGTTGCCTAATTGTAGAAAGGACCAAGGGCTAACTGCAGACTAACTGAGCGAACTTGTCCGCTGATGGAAGTGTTTTAAAACTGGACTTTGGTGATGGTTGCACAACTGTATAAATTTACTAAAACTGACCTTTACTCTCAAAGTGGTTGAATTTTATGGTATGTAAATTATACTTATATAAAACTGCTAAAAAGAAATTCGTAATAAGTTGAAAGTGGAGATTCATATCTGTCGTTTAGTCTGGTTCTCACTTAAAAAAAAAGAAGAAAAGTTAATTGTTTTTGTAAGAATAACATATGTTGATTGTTGGGAGACAGTTCTTCATAGGTCTGTTGTGCTTCTGCACATCTTGCCTCTGGCTTCCTTCTGTTCCTGGCTATCTTTTCAGGGATGTTTGGAGATAAGAGATCCCTCCAGGGCAAAGGCAGGCACGCTTCCTCTCCAGCATAAGAAAGGGAACTGCCTCTAGAGCAAAGGGCAGGCATGCTCACTGCTCATTATAAACTGTTCAGGTTCCCTAAGCTCAAAATTCCACTCGTGTAATGCAACCGGGTGTGTGTGCAGGTGTCACCAGCCCTCTTCATGTTGCCTGTGGGGACTGGGGCTTGTCAGACCAGTGAAGAATATGCTGATACTCTGGCTTCTGCTGTTGTATGAGTGGTAAATTCCTTTACCTCTGACCCAGGAGTCTCATGTCTCATCAGCATCCGCGAAACTGTAGCAGATTAACTTGTTGGCTTGTAAGCAGGGTAAAATCTCTGACCCTTTATAGTTTTTTGTGTGTAACGTAAAATCTGCATAACATAAAATTTACCATGTAGGCCATTTTTAAGTGCACAGTTCAGTTTTTTTAGTTTAAAAATTAAAAAAAATTTATAAAGACGTTCTGTCTCTTTAAATTTAACTACACTAGGTACCTCATGTAAGTGGAATTATACAGTATTTGTCCTTTTGTGTTTGACTTATTACATTTAGCATGATGCCTTCAAGGTTCATTCATGTTGTAGCATGTACCAGGATGTCATTCCTTTCTAAGGCTGAGTAATATCCATTGTATGCCTTCACAGTTCTTGACACTAATTACTGAAAAATATACAAACAGGAAGAGTGTTTGGATAAACAAGGTGAAGGTTCTTGTGATAGGAAGGGAATTAAGGAGGGGAGAGAGAGGGCAACAGGTAAAGAACAGAAATTAATTCCATTTCTGCAGCCGCAGGTACAGCATTCTAAGGAAAACCGAGGCTACTGTGGGATCACGCTTCTGCTTCCTAGTGGCCTGGAGTCTAGTCTGGGGGACAGAGTGGTCGGCAGGGATCTGAGCAGTGGCTGGGACCCTATCCCACCTGCCTCTCTGCCAGTGCTGCACATCTCAGGGCTGTTGGCCCTGGCAATTCTCCCCCATCCCTAGCCTTGGCGGGGGCCCCTCACAGCCTGTAGGTCATGATGCAAGACATTGACTGCATTGGCTTAATTTGGCCATTGCCCAGATAACAGGCAAAATTTAGAACTAGATCTAATTTTAGATCTAGATCTAGTTCTTCTAGTTTAGATCGAGTTCATTTAATAACTAGATGAAATCTGGCTTTTGATAAGAGTCCTAGGGCCCTGTCTCAAGCCCTTCCCAACCATCACCTATGCCCTCTGCCCCCCTCCCCACTGCTCTACTCACAACCAATCTGAGACTCTGGCCATCGCACAGAGACATAAAGAACTGATTACATGCCGGAACATCTTTCTGGATTATTTTAGTACAATAGGGGTTAAAGTCATAAAATGACACTCTCAGGAGAGAGCATTTCAGATGTGAGCTAGCAGGTAGAAGCAGAATTCTTGGAGCAAGGAGGAGTTATTTTATTCCCCTCAAAATTGCTCTACATAGGATGTTGCTAATCAGCCTACAAACCAGGCAAGAAAAGAACAGCCACTTTTTGGATTGACAGCAGAGTTATTAGGGCTAGAAAGCACCTTAGAGATGATCTGGCTGAACCATTTATTTTATAGATGAGGAAATGAAGCTTCAGAGAGGAGAAATGATTTTTCAAAGTCACTCAGTAAACAACAGAGCTAGATGCCATATGCCAATATGTATACATGTATTTATATTAGGCAACTCTGAGACAGAAAGGGTACAATTAATTTATAATGTAAAAGAGCTCACCGAATAATCTAGCTAAGGTTTTCCTTCTGTTGAAAGCATCTTTACTGGAGAAGCTGCTTAGAATTTAGAAATTCTTGACCATAGGACCCGTGTCAGGCACTTTGCTTCCCTGCACGTAGCATGTGCTTTGTGTAATAGGTGAGGAATGAGTGATGTATTAGATTTGCTCCTTTAATTCCTGTCTTTTAAAGGAGAATGATTCTTTTTGGTTTTGCATTGTGTGGATAAAACAACCAATCACATCTTCCTCGTATACTGTCTTCATCATTTCACCTATCACACTGGCCCAGAGTTATTCTTAAGTAATTTTTGGCTACTTTGAGGACATGATTTAGTTAGCTCTGGACCCTTAGGTGTGTCAGTGCCTGACATGTTAGTGGGTTTTCAGTCAATGTTTTATGAATTGAACTGAGGAAATAACAGGTCTTTCTTCTGTATTGTTGATACATAGGTTTTATTTGTTAACTAAAACCCCCAGCAACTTAAACAGACTTTCTTGATTTCAGTTGGAATTTAGTTTTCGTTTGTTTTATTCACATTATTTCTAAAAAACATTTCTTCCTTTATTCCCTGATGTTTAGAGTAATAACTTGCTACCAACTACTTAGTCTTCTACTATAAAGCAAAAATTGTTAGCTCTAAAGCTGACCCTCAGTTATGAGTGGTTACCTGTATTGCACTTGAAAGACCATTCGAAAAGATCTAATTTCTTATAAACAAACCTCTCAAAGCCTCTGTTTCCTCAGCTATAGAATGAAGCTAATGATTCCTGCCTTACAGGGTATTGTGAGAATTAAATGAGATCATGCATGTAAAGTGCCTATCAAAGGGTCTGGCAATGTTAACTGTAGTTATCATCAAGAAAGGAATTATAAAGTAGGCTACAACATTGGGTCTGTTCAGTATTTTGTTGTCATTGTTGTGTTGGTTTTTTGGTGGGGGGAGGTAATTAGATTTATTTATTATTCTTAGAGAAGGTACTTGCGATTGAACCCAGGACCTCATGCTTGCTAAGCATGTGCTCTACCACTTGAGCTATTCCTGCCCTAGGTCTGTTCAGTGTTTTGATAGATACAAGTGATCTGTATTTAGTTGGTATAATATCACATCAGAACATAATCTGCTCAGTACATATAATCTGAACTATTATTACTATCAGTAACCATTACTGACATTTACTGAGTCTTTATCATGTGGCAATCGCTAGGTTGAGTGCTTTCTCTGCATTATCACATTAATCTCCATAACAGTTCCATAATTTGGATATTATCCCCATTTTATAGAGAAGGGAACTGAGACTTAAGGAGAAATAAGCTGATTAAGGTTACATGGTTTTAAGTGCCATCGATAGCCTGGAATCCAGGTCTGGTCTGAGTCTAAAGTGCCAGAGTTTATACCAGCTCTGAATTTATGACACAGTCTAAGAAACAAAGAGAATTTCTTTTTAGATGACTGGCCCTACTCTGACTTTGAGAAAGAGGAAGCATGTTGCTTCTCAGAGGCTTTGGTTAAAGAATAGAGAATCAAATATTCACACTTGAAGCTATCTATGACCTATTTTGTAAATTTTCCTGAAATAAGAGAAACAGTGACTGCGTAGTGTCAAGCCAAAATTTCCACCACGTGTGACCCATGTCTTACTTGTTTGCCTCTAGCCAACCTCATGTTCTTTTTTCACCTCGTGCCTTTTAAATGTATTGTACGTGTGTTACGACCAGCACATCCAGAACCATATCTTGGCATTAAAATTCCATAAAGTCCATTTTGGGAATCAGATTACTACACTTATTTTTAGCTCTCAACACAAACTGCTCTTTCCATTACACTTTGAAATATCCAGTGTTAAAATGATGTTGAAAATAACTCTTACAGCCAGATAAAAAACCTACACTTGGTTTAATCAGGCTAGACCCATTGACTGGCATTAATGTAATTACACTACTAAGGCAGCTACCTGCCAGTGCCTCTCTCTTCCTCTGGGTTTAGGACTACCCTCCCCATTTGCTGCTATATTTATCTGCCTTCTTGGCCATAAAAGGCTGGCTGTGTGGCTCTGACATTCTACTGCCTGACCACATGCATTATTTTTGAACTGGCCCCCAGGGTCTGTCTTTAGCTCTGCCTCTTAACTTTTTCTTGGATTTGACCTACGTGGGTTTTTCATTCTCTCACCCAGCTCTACGGTCACGTCAGAACATTTCCACCACCATCCCTCCTTTGGAAGCTGGTAAGTGTGACCTTGAGGCAGAAGAATGAACTTGGTATTTTACGTGCTTAACAGCGCTGTGGTGTGTGTGGTTTCTTTCTATCTTCTGAGCTCAGCAGTTTTCTCAAAGAGACGTTAGAATAGCAGAGAAATAGGAAAGTGGAGGTCCTGGGAAGGAAAGCGAGTGGCAGGATGCCAGTTTGTGCTGGCAAAGCTCTTCTCTCAGATCAGTAGATTCTTTTAAAATTAAGCTACTATTCCTGGAGCTATAAGGAGAAAATAGCTGTCTAGTGTGAATCAAGTGCTCTTCCCAAATTACAGGTCACAGGTTTGGTTGAAATCTGGAATGGGTGAGGAAACAGAAAATCCTGTGTTTTCTACCCTCCATAAGCCTACAATACTTCCTGATTATACATTAGATCAAAAGGAGATGAATTAACTCTGAAGTCACTAGTTTCCAGGTCAGTGATTTTGCTCTGATGATGCCATGTGGGTAAAGGTAAGAGTGACAGGCGTGGTGATAGTTATAATCTGCAAGTGGCTAAGCAATGTGTCAGAGGCAACATAGATCCCCACAGAATGATCCTAAAATGAATGTAGAAAACATTCACAGAAAGTGAAGTTTTATCAGCTTTTGGCCTCTAATGCCTGTATAAAAGTATCATATCACAATTACAGCCATGGAGTTACTATTCCTTCGTAAATTCCCAAATTATTTCCAGGAAGAAAACACATCTCTTAAAGGAATAGAAGACAACCAAACCATCTTTCCTCCCAACACACTCAAGCTACCGTGTGTCTAGGGTAATCCTTGCTCATATGATGAAGAGAAGGTAGTTGTACCTTCATTCCAGAGGTCAGAGCTCAGACAGTCAGCTCTGTTGATGTAAAGCCATAGCCTGTTTACTTGCAATACATTATCTATGTGCTTGCAATATTAAGTATTATTAAAAAATAAATATCTTGGGGGAAAATAGAAATAAAGAGAGTGGACAATAGAACTGGGGCAAGACATTTAAAGATTTGTGAAAATAACAGCATTTCAAGTTATTTGGATTCTGAGTTTAGCTTATAATAAATAGGAAAGTCAATCACTATTTATTTGGACATCATTCAAATAACATTTACCATGTTGCAATGTAGTATGTATCATTACAGAAACATACCTTTATAGCAGCCTGATATTATATAGTGCTATGTTAACATATTCGACCACTTTGTTTTATCAAAATTTATCTAGTAATTGTTCATTACACCTGATAATTATCTGTATATTTTAGAACAGAAAATAGCAATCTATTTAAGGGTTGAAGCGAAGTTGCTTGCCGGTAGCTATTGTTTTCCTCTTGGGAAATGCCACATAGACTGATAGCTTCCATGAGCTCTAAGATAAATATTTCTGGAGTGAAGTTTGCTGAATTTCCTTCTCTAGGGAAAGCATGCTGATTTTTTACCTTAAATAAGCGGTAGACATAAACTTGACAAAAAATATGGCAACTTTAGAATCATTCATTCCTCACTTAGAACTTTAAAAAAATATATTTGGGAAAAATGAATACAACTAATTTTATTTGTAAAATTTAAAAGTAACGTTTTAGAACATGCACAAAGATATTAAACATGGAAGGAGAGGCTTCGATAAGACTATTAGTTCACCCAGTGTAGGCTTCTGTCAGTGGGCAGATTATTTAAGAAAGAGTGCAATATGGAGTCTCCCCTCCCTGTGCTGGCAGACCTACTTTGACTTTTAGTAGAACTGGAAGCTCCAGTTCACAATGCAAACTGCTACACCAATGACTGACTTTCTTGCTACTTTATGTAGGAAGACCAGGATCTTTGATATTCTTAATGGGGAGCAAATAATTTTTCTGGTTTGACACAAGACCTTTTTGAAGTGTTTGTGAGATCTGAGGGAGCTTGTTGTATGACAATGCAGGCCTCCTCCAGGGCTCAGTCCTGCAAATTTCATTTTCATCTATGTTTTTTTTTTGGTGGTGGAGGGGGCTTTGAATTCCATCTGTATGCTGGTGAGTCCTAAATGTAGGTCTCCATCCTGGACTTCTACCCTGTATTCCAGGGTCACACGTCCAGTTTCCCACTTACCAGCCCCACTTGGATGTCCAGCAGGTATCTGTCTCAAGCAGAGTGTCTCAGACCAGTCTCCTGCTCTTCCCTCCGCAAGTGCTGATTTCTTCCACTCGCACTCAGTTAGTAGTAACGTCAGTCTTTGGATTACTCAGGAGGTATCCTTGGAGTCATCTCTCACCCCTCTTTCTTTCACACTCTAATCCAGAACTTGCAGCGAATGCTGTTGGTTCTACCTGCAAAACACGCAGAGTCTGATCACTTCTCACACTTCCATCGCTACCACTATGCTCTCTGGCCCGGACTACGCAGTGGCCTTTACGTTAATATGCTAGGGCTGCCGTAACAAAGTCCCATCGCCTGGCTGGCTGAAACAGCAAAAATTTGCCTTCTCGCAATTCTAGAGGCTGGAAATCTGAGATCCAGGTGTCAGCTGGGTTGGTTTTTCTGAGGCCTCTCTCCTTTGCTTGTAGATGGTCATCTTTTTGTGTCTTCACACAGTCTTCCCTCTGTATAGGTACATAGCTGTGTCCTAATTTCCTCTTTGTATGGGGGTGCCCCGCCCCAGTGCCTTTGCAATGGTCTTCCAGCCAGAACACTTCTCCCCAGATATTCTTATGCTCAGATGTCACTTTCATGCTCAGAAGCCATCCCTGATGATGCATTACATCCCGTTTTCCTGCTTTATTTTTCTCTATAGCATTTAGCAAGCTCTAATATATACTTTACTTATTTTCTCTATTTGTCTATCTCCTGTAATAGAATATAAGGTTCTATATAAGGTTATCAGAGCAGTGATTTTGTTTGGTTTGTTCATCACTGTATTTCCTGTGCTGCCATAGTACCAGGCCCAGTAATTATTTGTCGAATGAAAACCACATTGGCTGGACACAGACCCTCCATCATTACACACTCTCTCAGATGAAGCCTCTGTCAGAATGAAACACCAGAAAATTAGAAATATATACTATGAAAGGTCTGAGGGAAACGCACAGTTGGGCAAACTTATGAAGACCTCCTGGATATCTTTTTTAAAGGCACAGTGACAGGAAGGGGTACATCTGGGCTGTGAAGCAGGGAGTTTACTGAGTAACCACCTAAGCTAACATTACATCTTTTTCCACTTACTCGCTGGGAGAGATACGAGTATTAATTTTTACACATTGGTTTAGATGACTTCTTCTCTAGGATTTGTTCACTGGAAAATTGTTGCTCTCTTGTAGGCTGCCTGATTCCCTGGGGGCACACGATGTCTCTGCCATTTTATCAGAGATTGCACCAGCACTATGATCTCAGCTACCGCAACAGGGACCTTCGCACCGCGATGAGCCAGTACCAGCAGGAGAAGAAAAGCTCCGCCATCTACACCCACGGCTCCGCCGCCTACAGCAGCCGCTCCTCCGCCGCCCACCGCCAGGAGTCCCAGGCCTTCAGCCAGGCGTCCGCCTCCTCCTACCAGCAGCAGGCCTCCCAGGCCACCGAGTTCGCCCATTCGTCCGCAGTCAGTCAGAAGGCGGCCTCAGACTACGATTATGGCTACTCCCACGGGTATGTCCAAAGCAGTCTCCTAACCTCAGGGCAAAGGTGCCTTCTCTCAACAGCCCTCCCATGTCACGTTTTCCTTTCTTCTTAAATCTAGCAGCCCTACATTTCAACCAGGTGTGGAGCCAGGCCACGTGTTTGGGAGCCCTGGGACTTCGGTCTTCCTATTTCCCTTTCCCTCCCTTCTCTGAGTGTCACAAAGAGCTTCACAGCCACCTTGGGGTGTCTTGCTTGAATTGCCAACTGTGATATTGCTAGAAGCAGAGAAGTTTTGCCACAGGTTGTGTTCAACATTCAGCAGCAGCAGAGCAAGGAAGTATCATTTCAACACCCACAGAAGGTTTCTTGGCCCTCAGAATGTTTTGACTCAGATGTGAAGCCAGTGTAGAATTTAAAATTCACAGACCACAGGAGCCCAAACTACAGCAGAGATGTATTTTATTCTTTCGATATCTGAAAGCCAATATTAAAATTCCAAGCTATTATTCAAGCAGCAAATATTTTCTTTAGGTGGAGCATTTCATAAAAATATGACCCTGTCTCAGTCAGCCTAAGAATATCAGGAACAAACCTGTATTCCGACAAAATTAGATTTACCCATTGCAATGGGAGAGACCACACACCAGAAGGAAAGAGAGAGTTGCAGCAGGATTCTAGGAAGAGTAGAGTTTAGATGCAGGTCTGGTCTAAAAAGTGGACGCAGTGTCCTGTTTCTTTGGAAACAGTCAAGTTGAGATAAATGAGGACGGTTGTATCTGGAAACCACTTATGTGGAGCTCAGCACCTGGGCTGGGAACTGAGGCTTCTTCCCTGTGTCAACAGCAGCTTAGGGCCTCCAAGCAAAAAGGCGATGTCTCCTTCTTACTGGTAAAATTTCAAACAGCGAACGTAGTGATAGTCTTTGATATTAGAGAAGAGAGCTTCTCGGTGAGTCTACAGTCGCTCAGAGGAGGATGTTTTCACAACCCTCTACTGCAGCAGTGTCCCTGGGAGAAACGTTGCCTGTGAACTTCGCAGTTGGCTTCTCTGTGTCTGTTGTTCCAGCCTGATGAATTCTGGGCAGATAGTTATTTTCTCAGTACAAGCCAGTTTTTATCTTCTCAACATCTAGAGTGAAATATGCCATGGGGATTAAGAAACACTTGCAAAATTCATGTGATTTTATTTAAAAATCTATCTATAGTCCACAGAAAGATTTGCTGAACTTCTAAACGTAAAAATTCCTGGGCACTGTGGTCAGTAACCACCTGCTGCCTCAGATCTTCTCCATCTGGCGTAGGTTGCATTGTTTGTTATAAACATATATAATTTTACTTCTTACAGAATTTAAGTCCACAAAGTATCTGTCAGGGCAACTCGAGAAGCTGTTTGTTTCTGGGAATTAAAAAAAGTTATTGAGGAAATAATGCAGTGGCTTGTATGGATAGAAGTGACGACGGTGTCTGAAGGTAGAAATTCCTGAATCCTTGTGGGGTTTGAGCAGCACCTGATCCAAGGCTGTGATTCTTGGGCACTGACAGTGACCTCCTGGGAGCGTCTGCATACTCAGTAACAGAGCCAGAAATCGCGAGGGTTTACCTGGAATGCATGATCGCAACACCCTGAAATTCCACTTAAAATGGAATGGGGTCATTTTGCAATTTCACTTTCATGGGCCATGTGTGCCATGGGATATTCGAATTGGCTGCAGATATGGAAATACTGTCCCTGAAGAGGTGAACCCACTTCTTTTAGCACATGTTTCAAATGACCTGCCTTCCAAAGGAAAGTTGGGTGGAATTAGCACCCTGCATATGTGATAGTCTCATTTCGTTCTCCTGAAAAATGTTCCATAGATATGTTTAAGAATTTCATTTAGGAAAGCAGCTGTCTTTTAATAAAGAGGATTTACCTTTTAAATATCCATTTTCCTTGTCTGTCTGTGCTGAGTCTATAGAAAATGGGTATTTTTATTACTATACAGTTGTTTGTAACTCCTTGTATACTTATTTCACTCCCCCAAAGCTATAGAATCTATAGAGATTCATGAATTTGTATTTTAAAAACATCTTTGCTTCTTTGCTAAGTTTTATGTTAAAATTATTTTAGTTTCATACAAATTCTTCTTTTAACCACGTACAGAATTCATACTTATTCACAATCTGATATATTATATCAAATATTAATAATTGAACCCTTGAACATATTTAAATTTTATTCGGGAAAAACTTGTTCTGTATTATTTTTGGAAGACTTAAGACACTTTAGCCAGAAAGAGCCTCAGATAATAAACTTTCTAGAGGAAGTGAAACTGTTATTATTTTTCAGGTTCAGCCTCACATCTTGTTCCTTCTTGCTATAGAAATATTTATGTAGGTGGGTAGGCATTTATTAACGGTTTTCTGTGTTTGAACAACTCCACTTCTTAGTAGGAATGTTGACCTAGAAACAAGAGAGGGAAGAAAATGCCAGTGTTTTTTCCTTTGTGTCATGCGATGTAGAAGAAAAGAAAGCTAACCTAATCCCAGGGGTATTTTAGTTTTTCTTTTTTTAGACCTAGAGCTGACAGGTGCAGATAATATTCTTTGAACGTTTCAAAATCTTTATAATTCCTCCAGGTTTTTTTTTCTTTCTCAAAATGGAGCAGCTTTTCCTTGCTAAATGGAATATCTCTCTTTGGGTCATGAAGAGTGTTGTTGATTAAAACTCATGTAATGTTGGGAATGCAATTCTGTGGAGTGTATGTAAACACTCGGCTTGATCTATTTTAGCCTCTGCTTTGTAGTTAGATGCCCAGTAGTAAAGTGGAAACTATGGAGATTTATATGTGCTCAGGGCTTGGCTGACCTCAGTTAGTCTTAAAAACAATGTCTTGTTGAGCGTCAGTGTGGTTTTAGCTCAGATCAGTTACCAATTGCACTCTGAGCCAAGGGTTATAAAATAAATTCTGAAAGGCTTATTCTAAATGCCTTTATTCTTAGTCACAGTGGGGGGAAAAGCCCCTAAATTAAAGAAAGTAATTCAGGAAAGCAAAATGATACAAGATTATTGTTTTATGCTAGTAATTTACAAATACTGTCAGGGATTAAAGGATAAATGGTGCTCATGACCACTTTGCAACCATGAGGCAAGGGTTCTTAACAACTATCCATGAATAGGTTTCAACAAAGTCTTGATTGATTTGAAATTATGTGCAAAATTAGGTGCAGATGAGAAGTTTTTTGTTGCGAAGGACGCTAGCTTTCATCAGATTCTCAGAGAACTCTGAGATTCAGCAAAGGTCAGAACCACTGCGCTAGAAAGTCTACATGTAAATAACAGACAGCCCAGGGTGTGACTTGAGGATCCTTTTCTAATTATAAGGAGTTAGGATGAAATATGGCAGATGTTTACAGGGAATGTGGTCTTATGGAAATCAGGGTACCATCTTTTCTTTTGAATAAGCTGAATCACACATTAAGGTGGGAGTAATAAAAGAAATATTTTATGGTACTTGGTAGGTAGGAATGAATAACTTCCAAAAACCAGAGATCAACACAGCATCGTTCTTGGGTGGTGGAGGGACTTAGAGCTGTCCCTCAGCCCTCCTTGGTAATGGTAAACATTTGATTGTCTGGGTCTAAACAGACTACAGTTCAGCCCATATGATGTAATTCAGCACAACATTCTCTATACCACTTTACAATAACCCTGAGAAGTAGAAATTACATCCTCATTCTAAAAATGAGAGGATTGGAGATCAAAGAGATTAAATGACTTTTCTTCCTCACCCTAAGGAGTGGTGGAATAGTGACTGGAAACCTCATCCTACCCCAAGTCCCCCACCCTTTCCACAAGTACCCAGTGCGGGGTATGGTCAGCTAACTCCCCTTGACCATGTGACTGCCGGATTTTTCTTGAAACATCACTTGAATTATGTTTCCTTTTTTTTTCCCCTTCTCCTGGAGCAGGAGTATATAGGGTAGGAATAGAATGAGTAGCCAGAGGTGGAGGAAGGGCTGTGCCGTTCCCCACTGCGCTCAGCAGTGAAATGTTAGCTCTGTCCACGGCTGCCCGGGCGGGGGGTGTAACGGCGCTTCCCCGCAGAGGTCTCTGAGCTCTATAAGCCCATGGGAACCATTGCTACAGGCTTGGCCTTTTCTGCAGCAGCCTTTCCAGATGAAAAGGCAGAAAGCAGGAATACCTGATAAGAGGAAGGTAACTCACATTCACCATCCGGTCAACCCTAATGACCATTCTCAGAACGGGGTGGGATGTGGGTTTCTGGACTGCCTTGTAAATAAGTTAATAATTCTTTTACCAAGCCTGGACAATTTTCAGTCCACAGACTTAGACTATATAAGACATTTCCTGATACTGTCATGAGGTATCCTGTATGTAAGGTAAATAATGCAAAGAAAGAAAGAGTAAAGGATAGTTATTTATTATGACACTATGTGTCAGTAAATTTCAAGTGTGATGTTGATCAAACTAAATTCATGTTTGTATCATTTAAGAAGTTTTTTCTGGAAAGTGTGTTGGCAAAAAAAGGACTTAAATCCTCCTACTTATCCACTATCTTTGATGTTCTCCTGAAACTTTCGTTTAACTGTTCAAATTGAGAAACAGGAGGATCACAAGGTCAGCAGAAATGTTGAGGCTGACATGATACCCATATCAAAGGAGGAGGTAGAACAAAGCGGCTGTACATCAAGTATAACCTCTCACAAAAGCCCAGGGAAAGTGTGGTCTTTGAAGCTTTGCACCAGGGAGAAATTACACTAATAGGAAAGTAGAAATGAGAAATAAGACTGCAAACTCCAAGCACTTATTCCTGATCCTCCAGAGGGTTCTGAGATGGAACTTCTCCTCTCTGAGGAGGAGCAGCTGACAAAATGACCACAGACAGCCAAGAAGGTCAGTTTTCTAGACGCTGACCGATAGGTCAGTAAAACCACTGCCTTTTCCTTCCTTCTGGGAAACAGCTAAGCATTTTATTTATATGCAACAGTGCTAGGTTATAAACACACAGGAAGATGCAGTTTTAA